ACGATTCGCTGTTTTCAGGAGCTAGTAATTGAGACGGAGGGTGTTAGATAGGTGGGCACTTTGTCATCATTCACACCAAGCGCAGCCGCACCCAGAATGTCAACCAACAGCCAACACCTGAAATGCAAGAAAGTTGACACGGAGACAGGCACAAATGGGCCAACCGCAGCAATGATGTGACACACATACGACACCAACTGCATTATTGGCCTGGGTTAGCAAATGGAATTTGTTATAACTGCCTTGGTTACGCCACGCCCTGACGATCTGGTATCAACTCTCCTAATCTGCCGAACGAATGTGGCTTGGAACTATTTTACGCACAACAAAGTAACCAACAAAATTCGAAGTTGTACGACCCGTGAGACTTAGGCGCAACACGGTTACTACGCGCGAGTTGAACGGGCTCCTAGACCGAACGCAATTTCACACGCAGCTACCCAAACCTGAGAGGACAAGACAAAAAGACGCCTTTCGTGTAGGCACCTTTACAGGCCAGGCTCAAGGTGATTACAGCGCAGTCCAGCGTTTCTTTTATACCTCGATGGTGCCAATGATTCGCGCAAGCAAATCCTGGAAACTACTAAATTGGTACTATGCAAGTATGCCAACGAAACATGTTGAAAAGTGAATGTTGATAGATGCGGAGACTAGACTGGAAAACTGAATGTTTCTTAGGTAAAATGGGCTGAATGTTTTATGATTGCGATGGTTGGCCGGAAACATGAATGTTTTATGAGATACAAAAGCCAATAGAAACGTGAGTGCCTCGCGAGTTGGAAGGCTGATCGAAACATGTTCATTTGTCTGGGTCGAGTCTCATTGCCTTCCGTGGTTTATGCTTATGGTCATTATGGGACGTTGGGTCCCTATAACAGAATTGAACGGGAAATGGCATGCTTACTAAATGCTGCGCTAATGTTGATTACATATTTAACATACTCATCTCTTAGATGTTAGTCACACGGTCCCACACTTACGAGTCCGGTCTGGCTGAGGCATTCACGACCGCGCATGCTACCGTACCATGCGCTTGACGTCGATGAGCTAGAATATATCTGCGTCGGCCGCTTCATTACCCAGCGTTTCTTCTCCGCGTGCAATAGTGGTTTTTGCTGCACCCGCGCAACTGCCATTTTGATAAGCTCACACTATTCGCGCCGATCAACTGCGATCGTTTCCCAACACTAGAAATTAACATTTGTTCGTGATAAATTCGCCTTGGTCATGTCCTGGAAACGTAACTTCGATTTTCCTACCTGCCGCTTCTCTGCATACAGTTGGCCATAAAGCAGCTTTTTGGGTATCCGGGTGGAATCCATGCGGCGGGCATGTCCGACCCTCCTTAAGTGCCTCATCAGAAGTACGCGGTACACTACAATCATACCACTGCGGCGGAGCACCTCCGCGTTAGCAATTCGCTCACTACAGCCGATGCGCGGAAGACGATGCAGACACTGGATGAAACTGCTCCTGACATTCTTACGGTACATCGTCCAGGTTTCACTGCCGTATAGAACGGACAGCGTCATAGACTTGTATACCATCAGCTTTGTCCCAACCGTAAGCTGATGATTGTTCCATACACGTTTTTCCAACTTTTCAAATGCGTCAACCGCCTTCTATACGCTGGTACGCAGTTCGCTGGTCATCTGCAGGTCGGTAGACATTACGCTCCCTAGGTAGCAAAGTCTCTAAGTAGTTTCCAAAACGTCGTCATCTATGTGGACTTGCGGCATGCCCACAGACTCGATTCTTGGTAAAGGCTGAAAAAGGCAAACAGTCTTATTTGTGTTAATGGTGAGCCCGAATTTGGCCGCTACTGAAGCGAGATTTAAAGTCATGTGCTGCAACTCATCCGCGCTGTGTGCGAACAACTCACTGTCGTCGGTAAGCCATAACATGCGGATGGTTGTCTCATACACTAGGGTTCTCGCTCCGAAACGACGGATGTTCAGCAACCCATCATCTACACGGGCACCGCATTCATGCAGCATCAAAAGTACAACACATGATAGCGTTTAGGTAAATACTAAAGAGGGTAAAAGCTAAGATAAAACATTGCTTCACACTAGCGACAACTGCAGTCATCGGAGGCGTGTCCATAGAGCTGCACTCTCACCTGTATACCACTCTGCCGACACTCAATTAAACTTACTAACTTATTTTGCCAACCAAATACCGTTCACGGTGCCTGCCGGTTCACTGTGTCACATGCCTTCATAGAGTCTAAAAACCGAGTTCAATGGCTGATGCCACTCTCGGCATTTCTCCTGCAACTAGTGAGCCACCAGCACCTTATCTATGGAGCTGCGACCCGAACGTAATCTGCATTGCTCTTCTGCCACCTTCGGTTCAACATGCTGAGTGTCCAGGCGGTTGAGCAGGTATCGCGCGATCACCTTGTCAGCACAACTCAACAAATTGTTACTACGATAATTCATTGCTTGCTCCCTTTTCTCTTGCGCAATAGTAGCACAAGGGTATCCTTCAGGTCAACCTACTTCAAACAGCGCACGTTGCACCAAGTGGTGCAGCGTTTTTATTAACGCGAGTCTGTGTGTTTTCACGGTATCCCATTGGCTCCAGCCCATTGTCCGTTTCTCAGGTGATCAACTGCTCTCTGCGTCTCATCCGGTGTTATTGTATCGACAAGACACATCCTTATCTTGTTGTTGCAACGTAGGCCATTCCATCTTTGAACGGTTGTTCAGGAAACGGCGTGCTTTCGGCAATTCTGCATTTTGTTCGCAGTCTGTGTACAGACAGCGCCTGAAATAGGATCGACCAGCGCCCTCAGCAGCTACAACGGACGCCGCGGATTTTTGCTTTACCGTGCTGTATTCTACTTTTGCTTTGGAAATACTGTGTTATACGTGTTTTCTCTGTGTTAATTTTGCACCAATACTTTCCTCCTGGTGTATTTTTCCATCTGTGCGAATTTGGTGAATATTCTCCGACTACTGTCGGAGATCTCACTGATTGACCCAACTGCCGTCTGTGTCCGCCATCTTGGATTTGTTATACAGCAATCGAACAGGTGTCTGCCAGACCACCAGCTTGATCGACGGCGTCTGGATTCAGCATACCAGTGCAGGCGTTGCAACGAACTCTTCCGCAGATCTGACAGTCACAGTGGCACGTACTGGTTGCCCACGGAAAACTATGCTCAAAGCTTTCAAAATAAACTTCAGTCGTGGCGTAGACAGCTGTGTAAAACTTGTGCGATTTGTAATAGAACGCAGAAACTGCCGAAAATGCTTCTATTCTCGATGTGCTCGCCTTAGTCTCAGCCAGATAAAAAGGCTTAGTGGTACGACTGGTTCTGCTCTGAGTGTACATCGCTTCCACTCGTCAGATGTATAACTGTGTTGACGCAGAAGTACGATAGGCTGACAAAGATTGTAGAGCATGCAGCAGCCGTGAAAGCTGTTCCACATGAACCAGACAAATCAGTGCCTCGAACTCGATGCTCAACATCAAACTCCAATTCAGCACAGTGTAGTAGTAAACGATCCAGTGTTAGCCACCCGACACTAGCGTCTGCTCATAAAGATGCGTTCACCACACATTTCTCAACAGAATCACCCGCCACACTAAACACTGTTAGAAGGCCGATAACCTACGCGTCTGTTGTTGCTAACCAAATGACGGAGGCACCTCCTATTGCAACTCCGCCCGCTGCCAAACGAGTTACTACTGCCAATATCACCACGGGACTCAAGACCCCATCACTTGTCTAACCGAAGAAAGCAGCCGCTGGTCCCTGCAAAAAGTAGAACATGAAACACTACCGTAATTCTCTAAGTGTTATATGCTCTGACCTGACTGAATCCGGGGCGAACTCCATAAAACATAATATACTAGACGACAAAAAACTGTGGGACTCCCTGCGTCAACTTATAGGGGTTCAAGCTAAACCAGTCAGTATGATGCGTCTCATCGGTCACCCAAACTCCGTACACTACGGTGAACCACGGTTACTCCAGGTAATATTTCAATCAGGTAATGATACAGAGGCAGTTCTCTTGTCAGCCACTCGCCTCCGTACCACCACATGCACTGTTCGAATATTTCCAAATGTGTCTTGGAGCGAACGCCAGAAACGCAAACCAAATCTGGATGATTTCCTTAAACAACAAGACGCAAAATTTACCCTTGTTCCCGGCGTCCCTGAGGTTTAGACATTAAACGAGCTAGAGGCCAAAGCGCATGACTGGGATGAACGGCGTTTTATTCGTGAAGTACTCTCACTCGAAAATGTTATCAATAATTCGACAGCAAGGTTATCGCTATCACCTAACTGCAAAGGGTGTTGTCCCCGAATGATGAAAGTGTCATTGCACTCCGAAATGATTTCAGAACATGTGATCAAAACGTGGCACAAAAGGCGTAAAATGCCGCCATCCGAAATACGTATAAAGACAATGGGCACCGGGCCATAGATAGACAATGTAACACTGAGCAAGCAACTCACCAATACAATTCTGTCATCGTGTGGCTCCGAACGGACACAATGCCGAAACACACCGACAGCTGAAGCAGGACAGGATGCTCACCCTGTTGTTGGCGCTGAGCGCTCTATGCAACAACCTGAACGCACCCTGGGACCTGCGTCATCGGTCCTACAAAAGACGACCGGCATTCGACCTCGCAAGCGTCGGCATAGACACTCACCGGAAACCAGCGTTCACAAACACGCTACTGGCCACCGATGCCTTCATATGCTTGTATACCAATGCACAAGGTCTTCTCAGCAAGCTTACCGAACTTCGTATTCGTCAGGTCTCCACGCCATGGTACCTAGTTATATGGTCATCGAAACATGGCTGAAAACGAAGTTCACGGATGCTGAGACTGCACTACCCGGCATGACTTCCATACAAAATGATCATCGATCTAGCAGAGGAGGTGGTGTGCTCTTGTAGTATCGATCCGACCTGCATGTTTATGTCATCGAGGACCCGTAAACCAAAGTCGTCGATTCTCCTTGGTGTCATATGCACTTAAGACGTGATGTGTGTTTACTAGGAATAGTTCCGCCCTGCAATGTTCACATTGGAAATGAATCACTGCTTAGCTTCTGCGATGAAACGAGTCCTGGCAGGATTATACAGTCACGTCCTCCTGGTGGGGGATTTCCACCTGCACGCAATCGAAGTGCCAGCATCGCAAGCGAACAATTCAAAGCGGATTTGCAAAATGTGATCGCCGATGTACCTCTATACAATCATGTCATCACTTCCATGCGATTCCGAACGGGTGACACACCCTCTGTTTTGGACCTTATGCTCTCCAACGAGGAACTAATGGTCGACACCGTGACCACAGATTAGGGGTTCACAACCTGGGGGTAATTACCCCCAAAGGGGTACAAAAATGGCATTTTGCGGGGAGTAAATATTAGTAAGAGGACTGGGTCATCAGTCGGTCGCTAAACAAGTTAAATAACAAAGTCATCCGTATCAAAACATATCGCTTATTACCTATGCACTTTGGATTAGCCATTGTAGGACTAGTTCATACTAGTCCGAGACAGTGCGCGAAATTAAGCGCGGATATCAGAAGGCCTTTGGAGTCGGACACAGCGGACAGTATTCGACGGGCTACAAGAAGACGCGGACGAATGAAGGGAGACAGGAGGTACACGTTAGCACGGGAACTAACAAGGCGATCGAGTGTGGAGCCGGTTGTAACGAAGATTAAAACAATAAGGAATAATGTACAATCGGTCAACAATTAAATTGTACCTGAAAGATAGCAGTTATTTTGTAGGGCGCTACAGAGCTCCCCCTCTAGAAGGCTGAACATAGAAAGCTTTCGAAATCGAAAAGGACTGTTGAAGCGAGGTTCGTAAGGCAAAATCGTGCCGAGTAAAAATGAGCGTGCGTTCGTGTAAATGCGGGTTCGTCGGAAGTCGGAGACCGCTGTGCCGTTTGTGCTTTGTTATTTATTGATCTCAAGGCAGAGTGCATTTCGGCGAGCCGTTGGAGCGGGCTTGTCGAACTACGAAAAAACTGGCTAGCTCAGAAAAAGGCCGATAGGACCACAACCTCCGCTGCTGGCAAACGGTGCGCTTGGGAGTGGTCTCTCTCTCTCCGCGCCAAAACGGCTTTCGTCCCACTTAGAAATGACCATCGTCCCACGAAGAAACGACAGTCGTCCGACGGAGAAGCGACCCTTGTCCCGCGAAGAAGCAACACACGTCCCGCGGAGAAGCGACGCTCGTCCCACGAAGAAGCGACCCTTGTCCCGCGAGGAAGCGACACTCGTCACGCGGAGAAGCGGTATTCGTCCCGCGGAGAAACGATCAGCCTTCGCGTCAGGGTCCTCAAAAACATTCCTCGTGTGGGTCAGTCGATCGAAGGGGAGGGTTTTGGCATGTATCGACGAGAAAATAAAATACGCGCAGAAAACGCTAGAAGGAACAAACGAATGATCTGCGTGTTTAATTTTTTGTTTTTGAATTTTTTAGAAAAAGGCTTTTCGGAGGTTTTTGATATTTTTTGTTTTCAAAAGGTTAACCGATCAAAACGGAGCAAATATATACACTATCTACAAAGCTAAACGTATTTACACTGTACATAGTCGGAAAAACGAACGGGCTTACGCACCTTCCGACCACGGCGATTGGTCGTGGAAGGCGGCGAGCTAGATTCGGGAGATGTCGGGACGGCTGAAGCTTGTAGACCGAGATCGTGGTCTGGTTGAACTGCAATAGGATTCCGTAAGCTGGTGCGGTGAGTTGTGACGTCGCACGAAGCACTACTAGACGAAGTAGGCGAGGTGGTTTCTTCCATAAAGGCGGGTTTTAGACGGTCGATGGTGACGACTTCGCGTCTACCACCGCGGTCAATAATGTACGCCTTACTCGCACGGTGTAGCACTTTGAAAGTTTCTATGTACAGCGAGTGAAGAGGCTGTCGAACACCGTCTGCGCGAAGAAGGACGTGTGAACACGTAGACAGCTTCTCTGGCACGTACACTGGTGTCTTCTGCGATCGAGGAGCGGGTTTACGTAGTTCGCGCATCTGGTGAGCCAATCGATCAGTGTAACTCCCGTAGTCAATAGATGGTGCTGCTAACTGTCCGGGCAACCGCAGCGTGCAGACGTAGACTAGCTGCGTTGGTGTTGCGTCGAAATTTTTCTTTAGCCTAGGAGGACGAGAGGAAGTGTTTCAGACCATGAAGGATTTGCGTGCGCACATAGCGTGGCATTTAATTTGCGGCGCGAACGCTCATGCCACCAGCGACCGGATGATACGCCATCGTCTTAACGTGGCGACAGCCTAAATCCTTAAACAACGTGGCAAATGTTGACGAGAAATGTGATTCTCGATCGGTGGTTATGATGGAGGGACAGTCGTATTGAGCTACCCATCGCTCCAGAAAAGTTTTCGCTACCGTTTCTGAAGAGCAGTTCGGTATGGGAATAGCTTCCGTCCACCTAGTGCACCGATCGACACACGTCAGTAGATACACAGAACCTTTCGAAGGCGGCAGAGGACCTACGAGGTCGACGTGCACGTGGTGCAAATATGCGTCTGGCGTAGGAAACGTGCCTACTGGGATTTTCGTGTGCTTGTGCACCTTCGCGTATTGAAACGAAAGGCAAGCATCTGCCCAAGTACGGACGTCCCGATTAACATTACGCCAGACGAACTGTGTGTTTATGAGTTTAACCGATGCCCGATCGCCTGGATGAGACAAGCCGTGCAACGTGTCGAACACGGTCTGCCGAAACTCGTGTGTGACGACTGGTCGCGGCGTGCCAAGAGTTCAGTCGCAAGGTATAGTTCCGTTTGATGATGTTAGCGGAACGGGTCTTATGCCCAGTGATTGAGACTTGCGTATTATATCAACCTCAGGATCATCGAGTTGCGCTGCGACCATGGCTGCCAAGTCAATAGCAGTGCAGGCGTCAGCGGAGATGGTTTGGATTCGGGAAAGTGCATCGGCTACGGCGTTGTGCACACTTGTGACATGCCGTATATCGGTCGTAAACTGAGCGATATAATCAAGGTGATGCGACTCTCTAGGAGAGTATCGGTCGGTAGTCGAGCCGAGTCAGGGGTTTGTGGTCGGTGAAGACGGCAAAGGGGCGGCCTTCTAAGACGTGTCGTAAGTGAGATATCGCTATATATATGGCTAGCAGTTCTCTACCGAACGTGCTGTAGCGAGATTCGGTAGGTTGTAGGCGTTTGGAGAAAATCGCTAAGGGCTGCCAAGTGTCGGCTACTCATTGCTGCAGCACAGCGCCGCTTGCCACTTCCGAGGCGTCAGGACAGCGAAGCTGCAGGATCGTGATGTCCTGTAGAAGCTATGTTGGCGATAGCGTCTTTCAGCGACTTGAAAGCAGTACTTGCTGCGGTAGGAAACTCGAATATTTTGAGTTTTCCTCGGAGAAGGTTCGTGAGGGGTTGCATCAGGGACGCGCAGTTTGGTATAAACCTTCGGTATTAGTTGACAAGTCCATAAAAACGCCTAAGCTGTTTGGAAGAATGAGGTTCAGCATAGTCGATGATGGCTTGAATTTTATCCTGCTGAGGAGATACGATGGCCGAGGAAGTTTACTGAGTCGACACCAAATGAACACTTTTCTGTGGTAATCGTCACCCCGTGTTGAGATAAACGATCCAGAAGTGTTCATACGTGGTGCATGTGCTCTTCTCGTGGAGAGCTCGCGATTAAAATGTCGTCGAGATGAGCATAAGGGAAGTTTAAGCCACGACAAACTTGGTCGACGAAGCGCTGAAAAGTTTGCTCGGCATTCTTTAGACCAAATGGCATGCGCAGAAACTCGAACAAACCAAATGGAGTCGTCACGGCAGTTTTAGCGATGTCTGCTTCGGCTACCGGAATTTGGTTGTGTGCGCGTACCAACTCGATTTTGCTGAAGATAATTTTACCCGCTAGATTGGCGGTGAGATCTAGTATGTGTGGGATCGGGTAGCGATCAGGCATGGTAACCATATTCAAGGTTCCATAGTCGCCGCAAGGACGCGAGTCCCCCATGACCTTCTTCGGGACCATGTGGAGAGGCGACGCCCGTGGGCTGTTGGACGGAAAACATGCTCTTTCAGTACTCTGTAACATTGGATTTTATGGTTGTTTTAACCTTCGAAATGTCCATTTGTTTAACTGACTGCATATCCGTTGTCACAAACCGTTTTGGTGAGTTCCTCGCTGCACGTTTCTCGCTCTGTCTGATTCGCTTCCCATTCTTGTAGCCTGCACAATGCACGTTGGGTTCAGTCTCCTCCGACTTCTATACTGTCGTATTTGACACGTCTTACGTGTCATCGCTTACCGACTAGTATCCCAGGTTCCGCCCAATCAGTGTCAAGTTATCATGCAGGAATGACTTGGAGTGGAGAAATGCAACGCGTGAGAAGGCACTGATATCTGCTAATATTTGATCATGAATCACACACGAAAGGGTCATATGAGGCCTTGAATGGAGGTAACAGCAGGCGTTTGAAAGTGTGCAGAACACCGTGTTTTGGGTCACAAAAAAGCAGAATCAACGGTTGGACCCCAGTGATCATTGGGTTTTGGCTTGATCACATTCATCTACAGTTGTTTTTGACAAGAAACCGTGGCAGTTGAGTGATTTAATTCAATGGTTTTAATATCGACGATAATGAGTTTATCTGCAAACGTTTGCGATAATGTCACCTACATTAAATCACGAAAGTATTCATATTCGAATGTATCATTTAGTTGCCTAATTTTTTGCAGGAACTATGTCTTCTGGAAAAAAAGCGGTCCTGCAAGGAAGCTTTTCTGCATTGGGGCTTCACCAATTTTGTCGATAAAAATGTTGAGAAGCCGTAATTTGTTTTGTGCAACAAAACGCTCATGGGGGAGAGCATGAAACCCAGCAAATTGAAAGACCACTTCGACCGAACTCATTCTCAGTTTGTAGGAAAAAATATTACATTCTTCAAACGGAAAGAAGTTGCGCTCAAAAGTTCGCACCTGGATACACCGGGTTCCTTTTTTCAGTCAACTGAAGCTGGTCTTGAAGCGTCGTACCGCATCGCTCTCCTAATCATCAAAAACAAGAAACCGCATACTATAGGAGAGGATCTCATAAAACCTTGCATAATCCATGCCTTGAAGCTCGTTCTTGGAGAGCAACATGCAGAAAAGTTAAGCATGATATCACTTTCTAACAACACAATCAAAAGTCGTATCGAGGATATGAGCAAGCATATTTTGAATAAGGTGCTCAACAAAATAAAGTCAAGTCCTTTCTTCGCAATACAGTTAGATGAGTCGACCGACGTTGCATCCTGTTCCCAGCCACTGGTCTATGTTCGGTACATACAAG